TGGAGAGCTTTTTATCACTTCTAACAAAGGGAATATTCAGGGTAAATCTCCATATGAATGGATAGTTTACTATAGTGTTTGCCACATTTTGTGGGCTGTCTCATAGGGCTTTCAAGTGAAAACTGGGAGGGAATTCTTGTGTGAGTTTGCCTCTAATAGGAGTGTGGTGTCAGCAGGCCTGGTAAGAGAAGAAACCAGAGCAGCTCTGGGGCTGGGACATGCTGTTCTCATCAAGCAGCATCTTCATCTTATTTTAAGATTCTGTGAACATGATTTTGTATGTGAGAACAATAGAACGCATTACCCTTTCTGTAGCCTTGTTTCAGTGCTAACAATGGACTTTACCATAATACTGTCTTTGTGCTTCATCCACATTTGCCAGTGCATCTTTTATGTCATGGATATTTTGCATGTAGCAAATGAGGTAGGGAGAACATACAGCAAAATAAATAATGTATGGTGTCAATTCCTCATTTTATTTCTAATTTGTTGAGTATAGGAGTAATATCTTCATATTGCTCTGTCCTATTTTTTTACTTTTAATTTAGGACAATGATGCAATTTCTGTTTATTCATTAACAGGATAAATAAAAGCTTGATGAAGCTAGCATCTTAGTATGTTAAAACCCTGAGTACTGGGGCTGGAGAGAAGGCTTAGTGGTTAAGAATGCTAGTTGTTCTTCTGGAGAAACCAGATTCAATTCCCAGCACCCACATGTCAGCTCACAACTATCTAAAACTCCAGTGCTTGGGGATCTGGTGCCGTCTTCTAGTTTCCATGGGCTCCAGGCATGCACATGATACATAAACATACATGCAGGCAAAATAAAATTAAAAATAAAAACAAGAACTGTAGAGACCATTGCTCTGTCTTTGTTTTATATTGCTTAGTATCTACCACAAATGTTCAGAGTCAAGTGAACACCTTCATCTTTCAGCTTATTCTATAAGATACACATACCATTTTAGACTATATTAAGAAAGTTCATGTGCAGTTGTCAGCTAGTAGAATACATCTGCTTTCATGATGAGGTATGAAGTCCAAACTATTTTTAGTTAACTACATTCTGTGGTTTAATGCCGCACACAAAGAATGCTCAGAATATACTTATTCACAAGTCATGTCTCCTTGAAAGACAGCTCTTGAAAGAGATGGGCAGGACCTTCTGGGAAACCAATGGGAGGAAAGAGTGTCTCTTGATTCAAGTCATTAAGAGACAGTGAGGCAGGGGGTTGGGGGGGGAGCTCACAATAGAAGCATGCTAACCAGATACAACTTCACCAAGACACAACTTCTCTCTGCAGATGCTTTTTAAATGTCTATAATGTTGCCAGCAAAAGAATACTGAGAGTTACCATTACTGTGTTAAGTATGAATTGACTGTGGTGGACGTGGAGACATGACTCAACAGGTCAAGGCACTTGTCACACAGACTGGCAACCTAAGTTCAATCCCCAGAGCCCATGTGTAGGTGGAAAGAGAAGATGAGTACAGAAGTTGCTCTCTGACTTGTATGTATATGTGTGTGTGCAGTGACTTACCCTCTCCCCACCCACAGTAATTTTTTTTTCTTTAACACACTGTTTAGCCCATAGTGCAGTCTCAGTGAACCAAATTCATGTTGCCCAAGTAGCAAAGTAGAAAATTAAGAAGAGAAGTTTTACTTAGATTTACTTACTTTATAAACATACACATTGTTCCAGGTTATATTTTGAAAGCTCATGTGGCACTATCATTACATGAAAAAAAATAGAAGTCCTGGGGCACAATGAATTAAAAAATACAGCAGATTTTAGCAGCACATGATAAAATGGTAGAGGAAAGGAGTTGTCTTTCTCTACAGAAGCATATGCTAATGAAAGAGTGAGCTTGTTATATGCCCACATCTTATCAAGCCAGAGTCCTGCTTTCCAGAAGGAAAACACATATGCAAACAATTTAGTCCTAGTGTTTTCCAAATTTCTCCTGCTGTTGAATTCATTAAAATTTCACAAAGGTAACAACCCAACAGATATACAAGGCATATAGCCTCTACTTAATCATGACTTTGGCTACTGATGTGTCTCTAGTACTGTCTGGAACATACAGTTCAAGAGAGAACAACTGTACGATAAATGAATGGGTGAGGTCAGATAATACCATTTCTATATTTTATATCAATATTGAGAAATACATAGACTTATATTTTTATTGAGTGTCCACACTTTAATATCTTGATTATTACATCTATATAAACATCCTCAAAATGAAGTACTCTTATTACTCTAAAACAATAAATTATAAAAATTAGTAAGTTTTAAATGTAAAATTTGCAATTATCATTCAGCCATTCTTGCCCTCCATCTCCCCCCCCCCCCCCCGACACACTCTTTAAAGGAATTCATCATTCCCTTAACATGTTTGCTGAGCTTCTATCATGTACAGGCTATTTTTTAGGTGCCAATGAGAAAAGAATGTACAGATTCCCTTTGCTTGTGGAACTTGTATTCCAGAAGACACAGGTGATGAATGGGTAAGCAATCATGATTGGTTAGATGATGGTAAGGCTGCTGGAACTACTGAAGTAGAAAAGTTGGTGACAGTGACACTCAGAAGGGTGGCCTGAGTGAACTTTTTAGAGAAGGTATCTTTTTTTTAGAGAAGGTAGCAGAAATGAGTAAGTGATGTATACTAATGCTAGAAGGAAAAACTTAGCAGTGACAACACCACATGCAGCTGTGTACTGTGTGGCTGAAGACCAGTAAGAAAGCAGGGGAGGAATGGATAGAGGAGAGAACAGGAGATGTTTGAGCTTAGGGAGACACTGAAGCCTATGGAACATGGCTGGCCTTAACCTTGTCATTTTGAAGTCTCTGTAGATTATGGTCTGAAATCTCTCCCCCAGAGTTTGTATTTTTTGATCACTTGTGTTGACTTAATATTGTATTCTGTCTTTTCAACAATGTTTCATGCTGTGAGAAGATGATTTGTCAGCATTCTCCCACTACAATTTAGCAGATAGACTTCAAATTGTGCTAGGTTGAATGTTTATTTGAACAGTAATATTTAATATTTATTGATACATACTTTCTTTATATTCACTATGCCATATAGTCCTTACGAGCTTGATGATGAATGTTATGCTTATATTCATTAGTATGGAAGTCCAGGAAGATAAGTAACCAACAGAGTTCATATAGTATGTGCAGAGGCCTGACTTGTGTTAGTTAAGATAACAGGAGCTACTATAACAAGCAAACTTCCTAGTGCATGGTTACTTAAACATAATGGAAGTATATTTCTCATTTATATAAGATGAAAACTTGATGTTTCTGATTGGTGAAGGCTTTTCTAATGGTGACACAAAGTCCCAGGCTCCTCTTGTCTTCACAAACAACAAGATCATCAAAAGCTGATAGAGCTGGGACACAAGAAGATTTTTGCTAGCCTTGTGATGATGCATTTCTCCACAGTCCACTGACCTTTCTGTCACATAACCATAGCTAACTGCAAAGGAGGCTGTGTTATCCAGAAGGAAAAAGACCCATCCAGGAAGCCAAGGCAGTCTGAGTCTGTACATAGCCATTATGATACCTGTGTAGATTTTGTGAAGTTTGTGTACTTGTGTGTGATGAGTACATCTACATTTTGAAATGCTAGATTGTGAGTTTCTCTTCTGCCAAGTCTATTTCATGTGTCCTTTTTTTTTTCTGTTTGTAAATGCCTGCCTCACTTTGACTGTAGTGTCTTAACTCAAGTTTCCTACATTAAGAAGAAAAGGCAGACCTAGCCCCAGAATTGCAAAACCAGTGAACAAAATATTTCTGAGAGATCCTTTTTATTGTGTCTGCTTTGATACGTTTTCCTAACTCCACCAAAGTAGGGTAATAACTTAACGACTATTATGGAGGATCTGCAAGTCTAAAAGAGGAAGCATAGCTGTGTGGAGGCGGAGGATCGAAATATAGTGACTAAATAAAGGCTTTCTAACTTTTAAAACTAAACTGTTTAAAATTAAATCATGTGCTTGTAGCTTTCCTAGAAACTACAAAGAACAGGTATTCCTAAAAGATTTAAAAATGAATGCATAATAGGAAGTAATTCGGTTCTCTTTAGATTAGATATCAAGTAATAGCTGAAAATTATGCACTCTCCCACACTCTTCACTGAAAATCCTGACATTTATTTGTCCCCCTTGATTATGTAAAAGAAGAATACTTTTCCTAACGCCTTTGGAGCAGTATTTACTGTCTTTCTTGGGTCCCAGCTTCCTTTAAGTGGTGTTGCAATGCGCAACCTGTACAAATCCCTACAGATTTGTACACAGATGTCTTCTCTTAGTCAGTGACCTATTTACGATAGTTCCCAGGAGAAATGCCTCCTAGCTTCAGTGCCAAAAATAGATGTTCTCAACCTGAGCAATTGATAGGTGGTGATCCAGTACACCACACAAACCACAAGGAAGCTATGGAGCACAGCCACAGGCAGACTCCAGGACAGACCCCTTTAGTCTCAATTTTGTATTGTCAGTAATCCTGTTTTTCCCTTACTAAATTTTCAGTTATATTATTTCCTTATTTGCTTTTGATTATCTAAGCTTTTGTAAGCTACTTTAGTCATTGAAAGAATAAATGACATCTGAAAATCAATCCTCATTTTATTACTACTACTACTACTACTATTTTGTGGTGAACTTAGAGGACAAAATGTATGCAGTTGAGGTGCCATTAGGCAGCTGGAGTGTGTAGTTGTCATCAGCACCACTCTTGGGGAATCCAGAATGGCCTGTGCTGTTGAGGTGTTGGTGTCTCTATCTGCTTTGCATCCCTATGACCTGGTGCTGTGCTCGCCTGTAACAGATGCCCAGTGAACAGGGGCTGCCACTCCTAAATGTTCCCACCTTCACATCCAGTGGGCACTGCGAAGCAAAGGGAAGACATGGAGTTCCCCAGTTGGCTTCACATTTGTCAGCTGTGGGACCTTTGCTTGCACCTCTGACTTTCTTTCTCTTTCTTTGCAGACTCACATTTCAAGACTCCCTCCTGGTGCTGTGGCAGGACAGTCAGTTGCAATCGAAGGCGGAGTTTGCCGCCTGGAGAGCCCAGTGAACTGACTTCAGGCTGAATAAGAAGTGTCTGAGAGGCATTTCAAAACCTTAGCTTTGGGCTATTTAATTGAAATGGGGTGTTTTATCTTCTTTGTTTGTAATTCCTATTGTAACCTCGGGCACTGCTCTGGATACAAAGTGCTGCTATACTTAGTGCTGGTTGACACTCGAGTCTTTGATGGGTGAGCAGGAGCATGTGTGGGTGTGTATCCATGTGTGGTTTGTGTGCTTGTTCTCCCTGGTGGGCTAGGATCTCCTCAAGTGTAACCTATGACAGAGACTGATCAAATCTTTACAAAAATGTGTGCTTTAACTGTTTACAAGTAAAGCCTAAAGTTGTAGAAAACTTTAATTTCATAAAAAGGTACCAACTATGGTTGACATAATGTGTCTGAACTGAAGAGTGAATCTGCTTATTTAAATGACTTGACCTTCCTTGCAATCCATTTAATAACAGTAATAAGTAGTATGGTGTCAGTTTAAGTGGATGGTGTAGTAACTTAAACTATTGTTGTCATCCCTCATACAGGGCATTTTTCCTTTAACAAAGAATGGTTTCAGTGAAACAGTCTAGTGGAGAAATAAGGTCAGAACCTTTAAAGTAATAGTCTTATTGATAAAGTTTGTACTCCTTTCCTCAGCTATTTGAAGCTTAAGTATTGCATAGCTTTGCGCCGTGTGTACTGTATTATGGAAGAGTATATAAAGAGAGTGTTCAGTGATGCACAGTTTTAATTTGTGTATAATGGAATGTTATTTACAATGTAACACTGTAAATAAGAAAGCAAAGTTTATGGGAAAATTCAATATTATCTTTGTTTCTTGTTTAAATATATTTTTAAGATAAAGGTACAAAAATAAAAGAAGCATATTGCTGGCTCTAGTGTGTGACTGGTTGTCACAGACTAATCTTCTGAATTCTAGACTGATGACTTGTGTTTTATTTCCTTTGCAAAAAAAAAAAAAAAAAAAAGAATATAATCACTACCCATCTTGCTAGCCTAGCCCCATGAAGCTTCAGTCGACACTAGAAAGAAGGAAGTCGATCTCAAGATGTTCTCAATGTAGAAGCACCTACATTTTCCATTGCAACTTGATAAAAATAACAAAGGGAATGAACAGAAACACTTTGCTTTGAACAGTTGGAGTGGCAGCTGAAAGCTCAATGGTGGTGGTTGATAAATTGCTCCTAAATGTTCTATTTAGAGACTCTGAAGCCACATAAGAAAACCCAGACTTTCCTTTTATTTCTTCTTCTTCTTCTTTTTTTTTTTTTTTTCTTTTAATGTAAGAAGTGGTTATCAAGAAGATACTAAAGATAGACTGACTTGCTCAGGGGGAGGAAGTTTCCCTGTAACATATAATCATGGCTCTGGGCGGTAGCTGATAAAGCCTCAGATGAAATTATATCCTTGGCATGGATGTATGTGCAAATTATAAAGGAAAGACAACCAAAATGAAGAGGGTGTAAATATGAGTGATTGGAGAGTTGCTGATTTATATTCCTTGTACAGGCAATTACATTTGTCTCGCTATGTTCTTGTAGACAGGTTGGTGCCATAGTATCTGTTTCTCATTCTTAACGAGGCCGAGAACTTAGTGAGAGATGGACTGGCTGGTGAGGAGCCTTTGGTTTCAAATGCTTTCAGAGACCTGTTACCTGTTGGCAGTTTTTTTTTAGAAGCTGGACTGGATCACATAAAACTATCAAGACATGTGGAGTCTGAAAATCCTTTGACCGATTTCACCAAGAATGCCAGTTCTTTCATCTCCTCCTGACTTACTCTATTCATATTCAATTGTCTGAGTTTAAGTTCCCTTTTATGAAGAGTAAAAACTGGCCAGCACAATAGGATACCAACCCTTTAAGAACCCTTCAAGACTATTCTCCAGGATTCTAAATACTTCTTTGTAAGAGATAATGTGGAGTTTGGAGGGGGAAAAATGCAGAATCTTGGAGGCAAAAATGAATTGCACTTATAAATTCTTTCATTATACAGTCATGTTCAGTTTCAGGTACTGAACCCAAAAGATATCAACAGATGTAAAATCAACTTCACACACAAGTAGGAAGAAAGGTAGAAGCAGATAAGAAAATAACTTTATTCTCCAATTTTAAGAAGCCTGTTTTTAATGTAGGTGACCTTGACTATTATGCCTATATGCAATTTTTTTTTTAAGAGCCAAGAATTAGATGCTTTAATCTCTTAGTACAATAAAACCTGATCTGGATTCCTTAATGCCTTCACTGTAACCCTGGTCTGAGTTTGAAAGTGAAAGACCCGTGGAGGGCTCGAACTCTCACGCCCCGACTCAGGAAAGGCAACCCCCCCAAATCACTCACGAGCAAAAGCATGAGGTCTTTTATATTCCAGCATACTGGGGTCTGCAGCCATACTCCACGTGGGGTAGAGGACTGGGAACCCTTTGGTACAGGGTTCAGACAGCTTTTATAGGGTTACAACAAAGCCCGTGCATCCAATCATTTCATAGCATCCAGTGTGGACCAATCAATTTGAACTATCCAAGCCCGTGCTTTGCCCAGGAAGTCTGCTTTCGCTAGGGCTTCTGGGTAGTGTGGCACGGCTCATTTCCTGTTCTCATTCACTCACTGGTGCTGTCAGTAAACTGCCCTGTTGTAAACAGTCAAGTATGACCTTTTTCCTACTCACTGCTAGGGGGCAGAGTCTAGGGAAAATTAGGCTAAATTTTTCCATCCTTACAAAAGTAGTACATCTACAGGGCTTGGTGAGAGCCAGGACGAAAACACTCTCCATGCAGGTTGGTGCACTATGCTCTCCAGGACAGGGGTGACCATGTGACTTTGTCATCCTTGCTTGTCTTCTCAGTGGGTCTGCCAGTGGCAGGTCCCTTCTAATATTTTGATCTCTGCTTCTGAATGTGAACTTGACCTGGAATATCTCCTTATACACCTGTTGGAATTGTATCTGCAGTATGCATAAGTAAGTTCCAAAATATTAATTTACAGCGTTTCTTAAGAGAAAGGGGATTTAATTTTGGTTTACATATATGATGGCATCTCTTGGGCTGTTCACAATCCCTATAACATGATTGTTCTTTTGACAGTGGGTGAAGGGAAAGGATATCCTGTCTTGTGCCTGATTTTAATGAAAATGCTTTGAATTTTTCTCTATTTAGGATGATGTTGGCTGTGGGTTTCCTGTATATACTTTGTATTATATTGAGATATGTCCCTGCATTTCCATTTTCTCAGAACATTTGTTATTGAAGGAAATTTTGTTGACACTTTTTTCCCTTTTTTACTTAAATTTTAAACAAGGTTGTTTTACATGTCAATCCCAGTTCTCTCACCCTCCCATCCTCCTCTATCACCCCCTCCAAACCCCAGCACATCCCCTTTCTGCTCCCCAGAGAGGGTGGGACCTTCCATGGGGAGTCTTCAAAGTCTGTCATATCATTTGGGGCAGTGCTTAGGCCCTCTCCCCCCCCCCCCCAGGCTGAGAGAACATCCTCTATGTGGGATGGGCTCACAAAGTCTATTCATATACTAGGGATAAATACTGATCCATTACCAGAGGCCCCATAGACTGCCCATTCCTCCTAACACCCACATTCAGGGAGCCTGGGTCAGTCCTATGCTGGTTTCCCAGCTTTCCCAGCTATTGTTCAGGTCAGCTGATTCTGTGTGTTTCTCCAGCCTTATCTTGACCCCTTTGCTCATCACTCCTCCCTCTCTGTAACTGGATTCCAGGAGTTCAGCTAGTGTTTAGCTGTGGGTGTCTGCTTCTGCTTCCATCAGCTACTAGATGAAGGCTCTAGGATGGCATAACTCTTAATATTGGGGAAGGGCATTAAAGGTAGCCTCTCCAACTATTGCTTAGATTGTTAATTAGGGTCATCCTTGTAGATCTCTGGGCATTTCCTAGTGCCAGATTTCTCTTTAAACCTATAATGGCTTCCTCTATTATGGTATCTCTTTTCTTTCAACCTTCCTGCTTCCTCATGCCCACCTCTCCCCTCCTCCCTTTCTCTTTCTTCTGTCTCCCTCTGTCTCCCTTCCCTCCATGCTCCCAATTTGCTCAGGAGATCTTGTCCCTTTCCCCTTCTCCAGGGGACCATGTATGTCTCTTAGGTCCCTCTTTGTTTCCTAGCTTTTCTGGTGGTGTGAATTATGGGCTGGTAATCCTTTGTTCTATGTTTAAAATCCATATATGAGTGAGTACATACCGTGTTTGTCTTTTTGTGACTGGGTTACCTCACTCAGTGTTGATAATGTTTTATGTAGCTGATGAGATGGACTTGTGTGTTCTGTCCTTTAGTCTACTTATACCATGAGTTGTTTATTCAGGTTCAAGTACAGTTTCAGGTTTGTTTAATCTGAATACAATGTTCAATATACAGTATTGAACCATCCTGCATCTCTGGGATGAAGTGGATTTGATCACAGTGCATAAATTTTCTATGTATTCTTGATTTTTTTTGTTTTTTGTTTGTTAATTCCATAGATGTATACTTCTTAAATGCACAAAAGCTAAATCAACATAGTATTAAAATGACTCCTGATGACTTACTGTTTTCTCATAGATTAATACAACCCAGCCCTCATCAGGAAAACTTCTGTTTGTAGTAGATGGTAATCAACATAGAGACCCACAACTGACCTAGGTGTGACAATAAGAGACTCAGCATCCTTAGCCCCAAATGCAGCCTCTCAGGAAGATCATTGTCTTTGTCTTTAGACTATATTTTTCAGTGTGCCTCAAACAATTAATGGTGAATGTCTGCACCTCTGTGTCAGGGGATATCTCTGGGAAGCATAGAAACTTGTCCTTTCTGTATGCACAGTAGGCTGTTGGTATCAGAAAATTAGCACCTTCCCAAAGCAATTCCAGTTTTGCCATCAAAGTTGAGGTAAACCTGCATCTGAGACAGTTGGCAGGCCCTGTACTGCTGACATGCAAACATTTTTAAGGAGATAGTGGGTATGTGGACTCTGAAGAACATCTTATCCAGGACTTCCACATAGGGAGACTTTCCAGGGAGTTTTGTAAGAACTTGTTGTGTTTAACTCTTGGATAGAAGACCTTGAAGGCAATCTAGATGATAGCTGTTCTTCCTTCCTAGGAACATGGGCACAAGAGAAGATTGAGCTCAGAATAAGTAAACCCTTGTGTATATTATAAACCTTTTATAGAATCCTATTAAGAGGAAAAGCCTATGATTGGGCGGATGTTATGGGCTATTAGTGAGAGTGAATGGCAGATTGGCAGTGTAAAATTATTCCTTTTAAGTTCACGTTTGCTCTGGGATATTAAGAACTCCTAAGTAATGCACAGCCTTTTCTCAACATAGTTTGGGTTCTGGTTCTTCAAGGTATGAGCCCAGATGTCTATGATCAGAGAGACTGACCAGACAGTTTTTCTTTTCCCACAAGCAGCTGCCCAAAGGAAGGATTAAATCTAACATTGGCCCGGGCTTTTCTCCAAGCAGCCCCACTTAGCCTCCAGAAGCCCATCAGCCAAGCCCTAGGTGGTTTACCATGACTAGTTGTGGAAAGTGTGGAGGGAACGTGAGCTCAGTCACAGGATGCTGTTACCAAAACCTTAAAACCACAGCAAGCAAAACCAGGGACAGGGGAGAGATCCTGCCATGCACAGCCATTAGGGCTTCTTTGATTAAGTCTCAGAAGTTGGAAAGAAAAACTGAAATAACATCGGTATCCAAAGAGTAACTCTTCGAGTGGCCTCTTGAATCTTGGAAGAGCCATCATTACTTAAGAGATAAGAGGATTTATTAAGAAAAACTTGGCATCTACCTGCCTCATGTAGAAGTGATAAGATGTTAATTTTGTCCCCAAACATTTTAGCCATGCCCTCCTCTCAAGTTAGTGCAGAGTCCATTCTCTAGATACTTGGGCTGAAACTCTTGGGCCATCT